TGACTGTTGTTAAAAGTGAAATAAGTAGGTTAATGAGGGATTTGAATTCGTTTAAAAAGGAGGTCAATTGGGTAGTCATGTTTTTGTTTTGTTGGTTTTGGTGTTCGTTATTTGTGTGTATCGGGTTTTTGTTTTGTAGGGTGGCCTAAGAATAGGTTTGACTGTTATTTGAATTATTTGGGTGAGAGGTACTGTTGAGAATTGGGTTATATAAAATTGGGTTTATACAATTTGTGTTTTCTTCGGTTATGTCTTCACTTTGCGATAAGACACTGCATTTATTACGGGAGGAAAATTGCGTGCTCGTTGTAGTTTTGGCTGTTTTTGATAACGGACTTTGTTTTTTCGGACTTTTAACGTTTTTGAAATTTAGGAGAAACGACCTCAGTCCAGTCGTAATTGAAAACATCATTATTATTGGAGTAGGATAACTCACTATTGTGTGTGTTTTTTCTTTGCACGTTGTTTTGATTGATAATTTTAAATAGGAAGATAGTTTTAGTTATTTTAGTATTCATTTTAATTAGGTGTTGTTACGTAAGTGAAAGATACGCGGTTGGGAAGACGGTTGTATTTACGTCATAGGCGCAACTAGAGTTCAATTTCTGGATGGGCTAAATTTTAATGATCCAGCGACCCATGAGGGGCTTCGTCCCTACACCCACAATATTGATTGTCAACACTAACATTTATATTTATATTAATTAGAAGTCCTTACGACCTTACCTATAGTCGTTGATAGTTTATTTCGAAGTAAAATTTTGTCCTTTAGTCACTTAATACTTACAGACTAGCTACCTAAATAAACACGAAAAAGAAGGATATACATATATAATTAATGAAATATAAAGTTCATAGCTATTACATTTTTATTATAAAGCCTAATAAAATAAACAATATTTTTCAATTTTTTTCAGCAAATTTATTTACAATTTCATTTTCGTCTAATTTGTTGGTTACATCTCTCTTTATATTTAAAATAGATAAATTTGTAAATCGATCTTGGGCCATGGAAGATCTAAGCCAATGTTTTATTCCTCTTATTATCTTCAATGACAGAACGACCTTTCACAGGTGGCTGAACTTATAGGAATAGATAAAGCCACTTGTAAAAGTTTAGAAAAGTTTAGAAATATTTGTTTTTCGACTTCTTTGACATCATTTATATTGAAATCTTTTTTTTTTTACTATTTAAAGGTTAAATGACACTCTAATTTCTGCTTCTAAGCTACTCTTTGAAATATGTAGAGATTCCTATAATTATAATTATTATAATTAATTAATTAGTTATCATTAATCTCTTATACAATTAAAATATATTTATACACATATTACCAAATTGCCTTAAAACATAATGATCTATAAACTTCACTGAATCGGTTGTATCTAATTTACAAAATGAACTACTGAATTGGCCATAGCCAAGCTTTCATCAGAAAACCTATATTTAAGATTGAAAACAACATTGTCCATAATAAAAAAATATGTAAAAGTTTTCCAATAATTTTCTACATAATTTGCTAATGACGAAAAATAGAAAAACCAAGAGTTTATGTCTTATTTTGTAGTGAAACTGAATGGGCTACAGTAGTGGCATAAACCCTCCGAAAATGTTTAATGTATGTATATTGTCTATTGATTATAATAAAAACACACAAAATTCAAAAAAATTTAATGTTACATTTTTTATGACCCCCCAAAAAAAAAAAAAAAAAAAATTATGGATACGCCACTGGGCTACGAATAAAACTGGGTGGGCTAAGCCCACCCAAGCCTCCCTATAATTGTGTCTATGATTTACGTATATGGGTTTGAGTAATTAAAATACTTACAAAAAAACGTGTCTTGGATTTTTTGACCCCAGACGGACAATGATTTTCTTTTGTTAAAGAACACTTAAAAATGATTGTTTTTTTGACACTTTTCACAACAAAAACGGTTAAGTATTTAGTTTGATTTTTAATAAAATAGTAATTAACGATTAATTTAGATGCACACATTACGAGTGCGGGACATCGAATCGCAATAAACTTAAACAATAATGTTAAACGAAAAATAATTATTATAATAATAATAATAACCAATAACAATGAGTTGTACTTTATTTTTTTTTTGAACAGTACTTAAGAAATATAATCACATTCTATTCTACTGTACAGGATTCGTTGGTTTCTAAATTAAGAATATACGCAATTTGTCAGTCAAAATTAAATATGACCAATCATTTATCAAGTTTGCGGTGTTGTTCAATCAAAGTCTACTATAAAACAGCAAACATGTATTAAAACAATCTAATATATATGTAGATATTATCAAGTATTTCATCACGCTTTACGTTTATAATGTTGACGTATTTATGCGCATGCATATAGATACAATACATATACTACTTAGATATTAAGTATACCGTAGCATCGAGGATTTAATTAAATCAATATGGACAATATTTCAAATTTCATTACTGTGAGTTATACTTCTATCCTGGGTGTGGACATGTATATTGTACCAAATGGTGGACCAAAACGTATTATTAAATAATATTTCTATGAAATTAACCACAATCTATCGGTAAAAATAACGACTGAATAGTTGAGGTGAACGAACATAACGGATGTATAATGTATATTTAAGGTACTTAAGAAAACTATTTTTTTTAAAGATTTATCAAACCTATTTAGAAATCATCTTCACTATTAAAATATCTTATACAAAATCGTAATACAGTATAAATCTTTTATAACGATATTACAGAGAAAGAGAGAAAGAAATAGATAAAATATTTATTTTATCCAATCTGTCATATACTCACTGGAAACATCTGAGTATACCAAATGTTCTCCTAAGGTCACAAGATTCGACGACGATAATTAATTCGTCATGTCTAGACCGACAGTTAGTGGTGAATATAGAGAGTGAAGGTTCTTGAGGGCTGAAACGCCTACCGTTGTGCGTATCCAACTTTATTGTAGTATTATAAATTACTTATATATCAGATATCACCATGTATACTGTATAATATTTAGTATAATACTTAATTAAATATATAATATAATGTATATTAAATATATATATATATATAATTATATATAAATATATATATATAATGCTCATTAAATATATTTTATACAAAGTGAAATATGTTATTGTTAATTGCAACTAGTTCTAAATCAACGAAGAAGATCGGAAGATTACTATTTGTTATTTTGTATAAAATGTTTGTAACATCACGAACAGCCTATCCAATTTCTTGAATTGCATTATTTATATCCGTTGTTAAGGTAGTTGATGGGTGTAGATTTCGAATAACTATTCTAAAAGTCTTATCTCCATGTGCTTGAAACATGTGATATTCATCTTTGGCTTTTTTAAGTATTTCATAATAGTACTATATATGTCGGAGTTAACAGATTTTATTTTTAGGTTTTTTAGAAATTGATTTGATAAAACAGTTATTGATCCCAACTAAATCGATTAATTTGATTCAGGGTATGACAAAGTCAAGTACTTTGCGGATAAAAATGAATGGAGGTAGTTTGGTTTAGATTTGGTCCATAACCATGTTATATTATAATCAATTTTATTTGTTTTAATAGTGTTTATTTCTTCATTTTTATTATTGAGAACACCATCTCTATTTGTTGATACCAAAATAGGTTTTTTGTTGGTATTTTTTTTATTTGATAGTAAATTGCTTGAGAAAAGAATACGTTTAGTTTTGGATTTGGACTTTTTAAATTCGAGAACATTTATGTCCCTTTCTAATTAGTTCGAAAATGCGTTATCACTTGAAACGTTATGTATACGGGATTTGTTTAAATTATATTTGTTTTATATGTTATTTTTACGATTCACATTAACATTTTCATGGCTAGATAGCAGAGAAGGCATTGTTCGTTATCGAGTTACAAAAGATTACGACCACCACCAACTGTGGCGTCGGGGAGTCCCTACTCCGCAATAGTGTAGTACGCCAATTAAAATTACCAACATTTTGCAGATTTCTAAGTGAGCATTAGTTTATTGAGGAGGACTTAGGTTGGATCGGATTTCCTTCCTGCATCCAGTTGTAAGAATAAATTTTTCTCGTAAACATAAATTTGAAATAAAAACTATTTAATAGTTACATAGGACACATATGTGGCGGACAGCATACGCGTTTCAATTAAAATATTAAATATTTTATGTTTTATTTCACAAAACGATGGTTTCACATTTTGCCTCGTTTTTAAGTGTAATTCCGAGTAGACAGATGTTTGATTTCATCTCCAAGCTTAACTTTTTCTAAAAAATTTTAACTTTTCGCCAACTGTCATGGCAGTGCAAAAACTTTGTTCATGGTTATTAATAATAAAAATTAAATTATCCCTTGTTTACATAATGTATACTTTACGCAATACATTCAAACTTTTGTGTCTTACAACGGTTATAGATTATCAAATTACGACTAAAAAATCGCGTATTCTCGGTGTTTCTCTTTACTCGTATTTTTGTCCTGGCTGTGATATTTTTACGATTACAATTTCACCTCTAGGTCACCGGCCACTATTAACGTAAAATAAATCTTCCGGGTTACCGTTACTAATGGGGTTGAGAGAAATTAATATCTCACACCATACATATATAAATAAATACATAAACATAATTATACACACACATTCATTTACATGGACGAAGTTGTTTTATTATCGTCATTATAATTATAACGATCTCTTAACGATTTACTAGGTTTTCTTTAATGTGTATGTACGTATATAAACAGTTGTTGTCATACGGCTATCCGCCACCGCATTCATAATCTTTTCTACCACATCTATTTCTCATATTCACATTATAACTTCTTACTAAGGGAGGAAAAAATACCGTTTTTTTTTTTTTTTGTCGTCGCCTTGAACAATTTAATATATACTTCACGTTTTTATGTAATTTTCTCATACAACAAAACTATAACGATCGAAAGGGTTTAGTTATTTTTATATTTATTTATTTTTCTTTTTTTACAGGCAACTCAGGAGTGCGGTGCACGACGTGCTGTCTGGCAGGTCGATTGGCCGTCGCGCCAAAGCTAATGCCGACAAACCAGACCTCAGCCTAGCCGTTCGTTTCGATATTATGAATTCAGTTGCCAGCAACCGACACGCCCCAAGTAAGTCGGAGACATTTTCATCAAGGTGTTGTGCCATCAGACGGCTTACGTCATAACATCTGCAGAATCGTCATGCCATCTTATATGGTTTTTATACGATATTACATCGCTAATAATATGAAATCAAATGGAAAAATCAATAGACCTATTTTTTCTATCTCAATATTCACTAACTCTCTCTTTTTCCCTCTCTCTGTACTTCAGAACTGTATTCGAGGTGAGTTCGTTGCTGTTCGTTTAAATTTGTAAACGCACTACGCAAAAACAGCCATGTTTAGCCATGTTTTTCATCAATTATGCTCATACATCGTTTATCGCGAAAATGCTCACACAGGGTTGCAATTTCAATTAAAAAACTGAGGGTGATAAAAACCTTCTATCCTAAGATTTTTCGACAAAGTTTTTAATAAAAAAGTTAAGCATTTTTAGTTAAAGTAGAATAACATTAAAAATTGCCTAATGTTTATTTTTTGATGTTAGAGCTTGAAAATTTATTATTAACCAATATGATTATACGTACCTGACTATTAGCTTTACCATTGCTATGAGTTAAGTTGTACTAAATTATGAGCAACCGAAGGATTGTTTATTGTAATACGTCTTTCGTCAAATAAAAAACAAAAAAAATAAAAACAGCCACCGGTTTTAATAAAATATTATTATTACGAATTATAATATTATTTTAATCTTTTCGTGTAAAATTTTACTTTTACTCCGTGCGTTTTGAAAAAGTTAAATCCATTGCATGCCATTATCGTGTGCCCAGCTTTCAACTAACCTCCGAATAAGCTATTTAAAATATGTATATCAGTGTAGTCCTCATATATATATATATATATATATATAAAGGCGTACTGTATAACCAAGAGGAATGCGCTAAAGTATTACTTGGGCACTTCATTTCGGTGTTAAAATGATACATTCACAAACTATTTAACCTATCTCTACGAGTATATAAACTCTATTAGATTAGCTGTACGTTAGTCGTGTTAATAAATTAACGTATCGACATTTTCATAATCGTTTGATTAATTCGGAAACCGTAATATTATTATTGAAGTTATACATTGTTTAGTCGTAGAGTTCAATAGGAGAGTTATATTATTTTATTTGAATAATAAAAAATATACAGTATATAATAAATAATATAAACAATAAAATCAATCCCTAATTCATAGCGAATAAATTATGATAAATGCTCGGGTATTCAAAAGGAGATTTTTTTACGTATATTTAACATAAAAATGTTTAATTCAAAGTTTGAGTGATACGAATATCAGATTATAATTAATATTAATTGATTACATTACATATCGTAGTAAAATGTGTAATTAGAAGAACATGGTAAATACAAACTTCTAATGTGCTTTTGAATTATGTAATAATAGAATGACAAACACGGGTCTCTAGTATCTGCTAAAAATACATGAATGTTTATGTTATATTATAATATATCTATTCATAAATTTCCCTTAATGCTGAACATTTGTAAAAATGGCCAGTTACATGGAAAACCTGTCATATCATTCAAAAAGTTGGAAAATATATATTAATCATACTGTCATAATATTTTGGTACACATGCTGAGTTATAGTGTCATCGCATAATTTATACATAGTAACTATGGTTACGTCAAATATGTGCATAGAAGTGGTTTATATTGCAGAAAAAAAATTTTAATCAATCAACTGCCAAGATTTAAATTTAAGACATTATCTGACAAACAATAAAACGCTAAGTACGGCTATTTATTATTTTCTCGTGTAAATATTTCAATTATTTCGTTTTTTCTAATAAATCAAGTAAACACCTTTACTTAGTTTTAATAAAAATAAAATTTAACGGAACTCTAAAAATATTTTTTATACATTTTCATTGCAATAAGAATGATAAAATCAATATTTTTAAAATACAAATATAATTAATTTTAAACGTTGGTAGAAATTATTATGTATTATTAGTGTACAAAATATCTACTATTTTTTTCATATTTAGGGAATTCGTTTGAAAAACTTTTATTACATGAATTACGCATCGTTTAATTTAGTAAAAATAATTATTTTATTTACTCTTATAATTTTAGTGATCTCTTGCTTTCTGTATCTCGCTCTCTGTTTAGTTTTAGTTTTATTTTTATTATTATTCAATTTCTTTGCTGTACTTAACTACTGCGTCCATAGAGTGTTTTAAATATACCTTATTTCGAAATATCAGTGCATAATATTTTATTATTATTATGTATTAACTTCACCATAAACACGTATAACATATTTTAGAATTTAATTGCAGATTATGATTTTGTTGAATTAAACTTCAAAACTACTAGATTTGGAAAACTAGTGCAAGTGGTAACCATTTATCATCTTGGTTTCACGAATAAGTTTAACATTTGTTTTTGGCAAACTATACTTATATTATATATTTTCTTTTATAATTTATTCATGAGACTTGTACATGTCAAGTATAATCGTAAAATTATAACTTTCGGTTATGAATAATTATTATTTATTTATTTTTGAAAGGACGCTTATTTTTTGAACTTCAAACAAATAAAAAAAAAAAAAAAAACATTATTTTATCGCAAGAAAAAATAAGTTAGATCGAATCTTTTAATATATCTGTATATATACAGGTTCTAGAGCTACAAGTGATTATTTCTTTATACAAATTATATTAATCATTATCTATCTAATTAATTTAAATTTATAAATAAAAGACCAATGGATAATAATTATTGTTTCATAATATCGAATGTAGTTTGAAACTATCTCAAATTATAAACGTAACACCAATATGAATCATACAACCTAAATTAATTTTTTTAAATCCATATAAATGCCGTAGGCGTTAAAATTTTACAAATTGTACTTGCTGCATTTCAAACTCTATAAATGTAACAAAAAAATTGAAAAAGTGAAAAAAAATTATTCTCACTCGATTAGGTCCAAAAAATGATTAATCGTTGTTTTTTATCCTTTCAAATGTTCGGGAGCCATTGAAGTGTTAAAATAAATGATTATGTTATGCACATCAATTTGTTGTGATCTAACGAGCGTCACAGTTGGTTTTTATAACTTATAGCTTAATAGCTGATATTGACATAGAAATGATGATACTGAAACGTACATTAGATTTTTTATATTATTATTCAATAAATATGTTACACATTGTCCAGTGTTAGTTAATTTTACTAATATTTGTTTTCCAAAATTACCATTTTTATATTTTTAATGGTTCAATCGCACTATAACGGATTACGTGGCTAATCATAAATCTAATCTGCCAATTATCAATTGCAAAATACACACCGTTATTCATACATAATTTTATTTTTTTTATTAAAAAAAATATAAGACGGTTTGAACACAAATTATTTGTACGATAAATCATCGGAATTATAAATGTATACTAAAGTCTATAAACTTTAGTAAACATATATTATTCTGTATTTAGTATACATATATTATTTGCTATAACATAAATTTCATGATCGGGATAGTCAACCATCGATAATAACCCCAGGTATAGAATGATTACGTTATCTAAAAAAAGACCTTTTTTTTTATAGTAATTACTTAGTTGCAATTGTATTTAATATATAATCTGTGTCGAAGTTATGATTTAAAGACATAAACTTGAATAAATGAGTTAGTGTTCAATGTACGCCTTATGTAAAAGCGCCGGCTACAAATTTCTTTGTTTGCATTTGATTTCTTCGTCTGCCGTTTTTATTTGCGGCTCGTCGTATTAATTCGTTACAAACCAAGAGACCCCCGGCAATAATACGGAATTATACTTTTGAATGACTGAATAAGGAAAATATTTGAGAGCTCAATCAAGCCTTACGTTTGATTACCGTATGGCCAACGAGGAATACTTATGGTTTGGTTTAATAGTATTTTTAATTTAACCGTGAGGTTCAACTATAAAAGAGGTTAAAAAATATGAAGTTGTACAAACGAAATTGGCCGTTTTTCTTTTTTCATTTTTTTTTTTTTTTTTATTTTAAGGTCGTGGTTACAGGTTAGACGTTATTCACAATAGAATACAGACATTATTTGTTTTACTAGAAATATTAATGGTCACGTTATTTGATTTAATTGTTGGACATCTACCACAATAAATGGAAAAAGGTGACTTAAATTGACAAGCTCTTGTTTATTTTTATAGTTTTCAGTTTTGCACAAAGCAATTTAAAAAATTTAAATTATTCATTACCAAATGTAATTCAATATTTGTTTATGGACACTAATATATAGTTATAGAATCTACGGTTTCATATCATTTTTTTTATAGCCGCGTGGATAAATAAATAGCTCAAGTTGAAGTAATGCTGTAAGTAAAAAGATATAGTTAAAAATAGGGTTTCAATCAATTAGAAAACAAAATTATTGTTAAACTATACGTGTATATTTGTTTGTTACTTTTATATATATTTAACATTCATTAAGTATCTATTCAATTTTTTTTATAGAAAAAAAAAACTATTTCATTTTTAACACATATTTTTTCGAGACAAATCAAATTATTATTTTTGATACAATATATGTCTGTTATTAAATGATTTAATTTTAAAAATCATCATGTACAAATTGAATCTATTAGTTTCACAATGTCTGTTATTTTATTTTAAACTCTACAACATCACAGAAGTGATAATGTTAGAATAATGTTTATTTTTCAAAAATATACAAATTATAATACCAAAGTTGTAAAATTAAAATACTTCTGCATTATTTTCAGAATAAGTAAATTCCACTATTAAACTCTAGTTTATTTCCATTTTAAAAATAGTAGTACGTTAGTTTCAAGTTTTATAAATTAATACAGCAATACCATTCACTTTTCTTTGTACCTTATCTGACCTAGAAATTTAATATAATTGATTGTAACATTAAATTTTAGCCATTTGTTTTTCAAATAATTATTATTTTAAATTTTACCAAACTGAATCATGTGCTAATATTAATGATTGCCTGGAAACATTTTTTTGCATTCTA